GGGGGGGAAGGGGGGAGTAAGCAGCTGCATGGTGCTCAGATGCCCTCTGAGCTCAAATCACAACATAAACTGGTCTGAAGATTCCACTACAGAATCCATCCACGACTGGAATGAAATTTTCTCAATCTGATAGGGGTTGTGCTGAGTCTTTAAAGAGGGATGATCTAAGGCCACAGGAGTCTTTTGGTCGTCAGTCCCTTCTGCTCAGAGTTCCCCATAGGACTTTTCTTGTGGTCTGGGCCTAACAAGTTGCCCTAGAATCCCCAAATAACTGCAAAGATGAACACACCATTCCTCTCATTCATCCACTTTTGATGTTAAAATACAGACTGCAAAATAAACTGCATAGTTACAACCTATTAGGCCTCCTCAGAAGAAATCTTTCCTGGTCCTCATCAACCTAGGCAATTTCATTATTTGGAGAGTATCAACATCCTTGTTTTTTCCAAGGAAGAGGTGTCTGAGTCATGATCAATTTTGCTGTTTAGTGTGGACTATCCTGAAAAGAGAATGGGATCACTTAACCTGGGGCAGATCATCCCTTTCCTCCTTCCACTTGCACCTTGGCAGTGTCAGCATCTATTCACTGGGTGGCAGTATTTACTAAAATATGTTACTAAAAAGCAACATCAAATTTTGTATAATTGGAAAAATCCATGCTCACTGAGTAGTTACACAAATACATATAAAAATTGAGAAGTTGACTAAAAAAAATGTAAAAGAAACTAGTAACAACTTTATTAATTCTTTTTCTTTTTTTTTTTTTTTTTTTTTTTTGTTTGAAAGACACCTGGGACTTAATTTTATATTATCAAACCAAACATTTATATTCTACTAGTAAAAATTTTGTATGTTAGATCTGTAAGAAAAAAAGCTTGTGTTTAAAATTTATTTGTGTTTAAAACTCATTTATTACAGAAAAGAAGTATGTGCTGACTAACAATAATAAACTTCAATTTCTTCACTAATGAATTCTGCATGAGGGTGTGAGATATTTCTAAATTCTTAACCCAGTATACCAGAGATAATAAATAGAAGCTCTCATCCTAATCATTAATTTTCCTTCAGAGATTAAGAGCAGGCAGGAAATAAAAATTTCCCACTTCCAGGAAATTTTATCTTTCATAGAACTAGTTGAATAAACTGAAAAGAAGACAATGCTGTCTCTTCACTTGCATTCAGAAGCTAGATTAGTGCTTTATTCTGCTTAGATTGCAAGTTTCATCTGCATTAGACTTTTAAAAAAATTTTGGAAGCAAGCTCCCGATATCTTAATAACATAAATTGGTTAATAAGGCTGGCCCAGAGTAAGATCTTCTGTAAAGAAACAAAACGGTAATACATTTACCTGGAGAAAAGGAACTTCCAAAAATGTTTACTTATACATACATACCTTTTAGGATGATATTTTAAAGGATGCTGAAATAAGTAAGTTACAGGTAAAGATACAATAGTAATTTCACTTTGACACCACTGGCAAGGAATGTGATCTGTCAGATCAAACGTTTGCACATATTTTTCATAGATACTTACTTCTGCATTCTATTGCTGGGAGGCGTTGCTCCCACACTCCATCAGCACACTCAAATGCAATTCGTCCAAGTTTTATATATCCAGGTCGACATCTGTATGTTACTTGAGTACCATGTGGATAGGGAGGTTTGTCCCATCTTTCAGTAGGCACTTCTTTAACCCTCCTAGGAGGAGGTTCTTGACAAGCTAAAAGTTGTAAATAAAAAACTGGTGACTGAAGCACATTCTACAAATGCCAAAATAATTATACAATAGAAAATGTAGCACAAAATCCTGGGGACACTTGTGATCAAATGAGCACATTTTTTCTACGTAATCATCACAAAACAGGAAACTGCCAAGAATTCACATTTTGTAATAATACAAACAGACATTTAGAAGGACATAAGAATAGTCAAGTAAGTGCCAAGAAACCACACAGGACAATCATAACTCATGAAATAGATTTTAGTTACAATGACTGAGATGAGATTAGTAGCCTGGTTATAACCACAGGCATCTCTTTTACCTTTCCATCTGCAGGAGCTCCTTCATGCCTGTCCTTCCATTGCCACAACTCTGCACTCTGTAGTTTCATTTCAAACTGACATTAACTTCATGTGTCATTTGATCAAGTTTTGTCAAATCTCCCCTCACCTTTACATTGCCTAAACTTTCTCTCCAGGCTGACATCACCTGATATTCAAAAACTTATTTCCTCCTGTCCATGAGATTACTTCTTATGACAAGTTACTTATTACATGATGTAATTAACTCTGAGTATTCACTTAGACCTTTGTTAGCTTCAAAGCATTCTGACTCAATTTTTGGGGTGGACAGTGGTGTCTTATATTTCTCATTACCTCAGTATTATACAGTGCTTCCCCAAACACTCTACTCCTGGGCCCTCTTCAGTGTCCATGAAATGCACAGCCAAGCCCATATGAATTACAAGACATAAACCTGAACTAATTTTATTAAGAAGTTCCTCAACAGCTTGAGAATGAGAAAAAACAGACTAAAGGGGAAAGAAACAAACATTGAAAAGCTGTTAATGAAAGACTAAATGACCTTTGTTAAAAAACCTTTTTTTTGTCGTTGTTTATAATAACTGATCTAATTTCAGTGAGGAATTTGTGTACTTGGGTGACTGAAACATACTTATTCTAAAGGCTGAATCTTTACCCAGAGTAACAGAGTCTGGACAGCCTAGCTAATTAGATACAATAAAGTCTGCTTTACTTCTGAACATGAAAGGTGAGAATTCATAAAAAATAAATAAAACAGCCTCTGAGAAACAAAGGCTTGGAAAATAAACAAAACCTCTGTATAAAAAACAAATGGGAGAAGAAATGTCTACCAGGGAAGGAAATTCCTTGGTGAGTAGAGAGCTGGCACAAAAGCCCTCCCACCAGTTTAGCTGTAAGGCCATGGGTTTGAGAAAGCAGCAATACTCTCACTGAAGCTCTCTTACAGGTTGTCCAGGTGCTGCCTAAAAGTGGGACTACAGGAAAAATATTTAGCATCTTTCCTCATGCGAGGGATGTGGAGTTATGGCTTGCTGAACTAAAATGTGGAGAGCACAACCACAGATTAAGTATCAGTGATTTCTAATACAAAGTGAACAGACTAAATACTCATTCTTCCACATCAATGTGTAAAGAGTGAATTTTACTTTAGTTATACAAAGATGTACCCTTGAACACTCACCGGTTTTATTTCAATCGGTGGACTACATACCAAATTAGAGGAATGTTTATAAAATTGTAACAAATCTTTTTCCTGCTTTTTAAACAAGAAAAAAAAAACCTGTATAATTTTAAGAGTTCTGTAGCCACGTCATTTTGAAAATACAAATAAAAGAATGTTAATTGTGAGATCTAATAACTTTATTTTGGCTGTCTTAAATAGCCAGAAGTAGTGAACTAAAGTTTTGAAGATACTGCTGAGGTGCTGAAGGAAGAGTATGCCCACATATTCACATTTTTTCCAACTACTTTAATAAATACGTTCTCCCCTGTAAATGATTACATCTGAGTAAAAGTTATTGCTTCTGTCCACTAGAGGGTACTACCCTACTATTAAAAAAGGTAGCAGGGACTATTAGCAAGATGAAGACACATTCACTTTTTAACGTTTTTGCAAAATGCAGGAATAAGTGAAATGAACAAGACTCCTCTAGCTAGTTCTGTCTTTCAAATGTGTTAAAAATGGTTAATTTACCCCCCAAAATTTTTTGTAATGGGAAAAGGATTTTTTCTAATGCTACATATTTTTCATTAGAGTTTATTAAAGTTAGTGCTTTCAGATTGCAAGCTGAGAAAGCACACTCCAAATTCCATGATCTAAACAATAATTTAGCACAGGGAGAGCTTCTCTGCTCTATTCCTCGCTTACTTCTATTTATATTTACATTGCCTGTTGTGCAGATTGTGGTCTCTTAACTCCTCCTTGTTTACCTTAAAAAAAAAAAAAAAGCACAAAACTAATCTCCTGATAGACTTTTCATTACTACTAAGATGTTTTTCTTTCTGGGTTTTATTTCAGCTCTGATTGTTCTTTACCACTCCTGCCCCGATGTCAAACTATGTGTTACCATCAAGTGTCACATTATGTGTATTTCTGACTGCAGCTAATTATTCTTTTTTTTTTTTTTAATGCAGTTTCTTATTAGCTTGAGAAGAAGAAATGTGCTGACAGATGTACTTCAAAACTCTATTAATTACATCATTCACTCACCATGTGTATTCGACAAATTGGGAGGGTTTTATTTTTATATTAGAGAGCATGCACTAAATGCATACCTTCAAATCCTTTAGTGAGAGACTAGAAGAGCTGCAATTAATAATTCAGTATTTATATGTGATGTCCTCAGTTAGAAATAGCTCAAGTTGCTTTCTTGATGTCATTATGTTGGTAGCAACTTCGATAAAGTCAAGCACAAACTATGAATTCAGTAGAAGTATTTTTCAGTTCTTGCCCAAAAACCCAGCTCTTGAACAACTCACATAGACTTTCAATATGAAGTTTGAACTAAGAACCCTGCATGACCCATGGTAATAGTTGTCCCGGTTAAATCAAATATTGCTACATTCACATTCCTTTGCAATCTCTCTGATCTAAAGAAAGCATTGCGAAAAGGAAGTGCAAATTCAGGCAAACTTTCTTTTCAAATGCCAGGACTTTTCTGGACTTCTTTGCAAACAAATTAGACTTCATTAGTTGCTTTGGAGCAGTATTTATTATAAGTATATATTAAAAAGATAATACATTTCATGAATGCCCTGATTTTTCAGTTCTTCAAAGTAAAATCCATCAGATTGTTTTGATTAATAAGGTCTTCAAAATCTTCACCTAAATTTACAAACAACCTGAACTGAGCAAAGACACACTAGCTTAAAACCACATAGACCCCTTTCCACAGGTCTATGTAAAGGAACCCAGACAGAAAGCAAAAAAAAAAAATTAAAATTACTGAACATAAATTAAACAATGTAAATACAATATCAAGAAAACTAAATCGAACAGAGAAGCAGAAAATACCAGAGGCTTCTGAAAAGATACTCAGGAAACTAGCTATCTCTTTCAACATGTACGAAAGCATACCTGTATACCTTTATCTCATTCAATGGAATAGAAACAGTCTGTCAGTTAACATATATTTTGTATGCTTTTCAGTCAATTCAGTAATCATTCCTCTTTCTCAGATTATCTCACAGATTATTCCAGACTGAAAAGAATGCATGTTTATTGAATATTTGCTATTTTAATCTACCAGCTATTTACAGGTTTTAGATGTTAGAATAAACAAACATAATTGAGACAAATAAGTTGTCTCCTCTAGTTCTAGGGATACTAACCATTACAAAAGTTGTGCAACAGATTAGTAAGAGCAGTAGCTGTTTAAATAAATAGGTGAAATAATACCTATGACAGGACACTAAATACTAAAGGTGCTAAATACTGCCAGAAGAAATCTCAATTATCATTGTCAGAAGTTCACTAAAATCAGCTACAATGCAAACATTTTATTTACATATTGGTTTTGTTACTGTCTTCACACACACATTAAGAAAGGGGGTATTTTTCTCACATTAAAGCTTACCTCTTTCTGCAGTACAGTATATCCAACATAAGAACAGAGCTGTATAGCCCAGGAATGACATCCTAGAGATTCAGAAACTCAAACACATTTAGTATTGTAGCCTACTTTTCCTTATTACTTTATGTTATTTCTGCTCCTGTTTTACTCACTAACTGCTCCAGAGACTGACCTTGCAAAGTATTTATACTCTGATTTCAGCAGTCAGTTCCCCTATACTCTTGCCAACACAAGTGGGTGGTGGTTTGGTGTGTGGTTTTTTTTTTTTTTTTGTGTTTTTTTTTTTTTTATTATTTGTTTTTGGTGTTTTGTTTTTTTTTTTCCCCCCCACACTCCAAACTTTGCTAAATGACTACTACATAAACGTCTGGCAATTTTAGTTGACACAGTCCTTCCCTGTGGTCTGCTTGTTTTTACATTATACCTTTATTTTTTTCTTATTAATGCTTTCCATACTTACATAATGTTATTTCTTTTGGTATCCAAAAGAATTTGCACAAATAAATTATTTTGTGATTCCTTATGTCTTACATGCTTAGTTAAAACCCAGAAATTCATACTAAATGTGTGTGAAAATGAACTTCGCTACTATATGCATATCATTCAAGATCTATGTTGAAAACAACTGAAATTAAAAGGCAAAAATACAAAGTGACTTAGTAACCCACTGGTTCTTGTACAAGACAACTAACTAGCCAGTACAAAGGAAATGTACTTGATCAAATACTTGATGAAGTAAACCTAGGTGATGTTGAAATACTTGTTTCAGTATCACATGAGAAATGATGAAGATGTGAATGAATTCTAAGATGGATAATGAACTATCCAAAGCAAAGTAATAAAGACTGTGCTAAAGAACTGTGTGGAAAACTGGGCTAACAGAGGAACTCCTCATGGATTCATGTAAGCAAGAGTCTTATTAATATCTTAATTAAATGTCTTGGCTTTATAAGAAGTACACTCCAGTTGAAATGTGGATCATATGAAGAAAAATATTTGAGATTAAAATTTAGGGAAAAAAAATGTAGGAGTACAAACTACTCTCAGAAGTTGGACACAAAACAGCTGCACACCAGATACCCCATAGTGGTGATGTCTGACTGGCATGGAGTATACACAGATCAATCTTGTGTATGCTCCAAAAGATCATTTAACATACCCTTAAAATCAATAGCTTAGTTATCCTACTGATGTAGGATAAAAACCAGTCTCTTTAGACAACACATCTCAAGTCAAGCCTGAATTCCAAAGCAGTTAAAACTTTTTTCTTCTCAAAATGCAGCTGGAATTCTTTTTTTTTTTTTTTTTTTTTTTTCCCCCCCTCTTTCTTTCTTTTGTTTTTAACCTGGGCTGTGTTTTCAGTTACCAATTCTAAGGAATGGTCTTGGTGAAAATTGGCATTCACCTGTTTCACCTACAAGAACTCTTTCAGAGAGCATTACATTTCTTCCTTTCCCTCTCCCTTTCTCTTGCCAAGTGACTCATATGTGGAGAATGAAATCTCACTCTGCTCCACAACCCTGTGATGATCAGTCTACATCCATTTTGCAGGTACTGGTGCATACCTGATCAGTAAAAATAATTTTTGCACCTGTCTAAGTTGAGTTATAAGAAACAGCTCCTCACACAACTTCACTGCCCAGATCTTTAATTCCTATTGTGATAGAGAACAGTGTGCTGCTGCAGATAGCAGTGCTTTAATGGCACCAAGTTGCGCTTGTCTTCTTCGCACCAATCTTACTGCATTACTATATGTCCCTGCATGCTGTTGTACCAGTGGGCTGCTGGGTGCAAAAGTGCACTTTGCAGTGTTGAGGAACTTAGGATGGTTTAACCTTCACTGTCACAGCAGTGGTATTAACTGCTTTTCAAATGTAGCAGTGATATTGCTGCTTTCCAATTCCTTAACTGCTGCAGGAAGCTCAGAGAATGGGAAAAACATTGAGGCAGAGTGCTAGGAGGCACTCAGATTGCAACCCAGAGACAGTGGCTCAAACCAATTAGCTGTAAAAATCCATACTGCAGGCATGGGTCCTGTAATTTCTCCATTTTTTAGTGTTGTATCTTCTGATGTCATGAAGCTCAAAGTGGTTCAGGCTTTATCAAACTGCTTTTGGGTTATTAAACTACTTGTCAAATCATTACAGGCTTGAAACATGGTCAAAGATACTTTCAGCTACAACTGAACCAAAACTGGAACTGAATTGACAGTTTTCTATAAATTTCCTGACTGCTCTCCATGAATACAGGCAATGTTAAAACTAATTAAGCTAAAATATAACATCAGCACACAAGAACAGATAGGTATAAACTCCCTATGAATAAATTTTAGCTGAAAACTAGCAGAGTCATGGAAGTAGTGAGGCTTTGAAGTAATCTTTGTATAGGCATAATGTAGGCCTGTACAAAGAAACCACCTTTGATCACAAAGCAAGGGAGCAGACTCAGTTCTTTCCAGTCTTGTGGTTGTGGTCATCTTAAGTCATTGATTAAATAAACTTATCCTAACCAAGTGGAAATAAAATCAGGAACTTACATCATTGTTTCCTTCTTCACCTCTTTTATGGGCTATCAGCTGATTCAAAAACTAAAGTCTTTAACCATGTCTGACTAGCATCTCCAGCCTCTAACAAAGCAGGGCGCATATGGAAACTGTACTCAGGATCTCTAAGCCAGGCAGAAAAAGTAATCTGAAGAGTACCCTTACCTCATATTGAGAAGAAAGACAGAAACATCTAAGTAGTTAGGCAACCAAAGGCAGATGGATTATACTTATGGAAGCAGAACGTGTGACCACACTCAAATATTGCTGTGGGCACAGCCAGACAGCCAAAATATCACCACATATTTGCTGTACTAGCAAAACTGAATGTCAAGATAGAGGTTCATAGGAAAGTTCAGGTTGGAAGGGATGTCAGGAAGTTATCTTGTCGAAAACTCCTGCAGCCCCCTCCTTACTTCTGAGAACGGAAAACTATCATTTTGTGATCACTGTGACCAAGACGGCTTTCAATCATCGCATCACCCACAAGTCCTTCTCTGTTCATAAACAACAGGTCTAGTGGGGTGCCTTCTCTAGTTGTCTCATTAACCAGCTGTGTCAGGAAGTTATCTTCCACACACTACAGGAACCTCCTGGACTGTTTCCTCTCTGATGTATTCTAAAACTATTTGTACCACACTTCTGATTACTTTTGTTTAAGTACCATCTCACTCTCCTGCCTTGGTGCTCTGTATTCAAAAGCAAAAAGAAAATTACTTGAAAACGTGATCTTCACAAAAACAAAAAAAACAAAAAAAAAGAGAAGATGCTCTCCTATATAAAAGGAGCTGTCAGTATCTCTAGTTTTAAATTAAGTCCTCCTACTCACAGCCAAGTGGGGATTTACTGGAAGGCAATTCAGAGGTTATCACCATTTCCCACCAGCTCGCTCTCCCCTTCTGCAGTGCTGCTATGCCTCTTGTCCCTACAATTTTTTTTCCAGGTCACCACAGACGTCAGAGGACTGTGATGCACTGTGACCACGGGTAGCCCTGAAGTGGATGCTCTTTGGTTTTGGAACTGTGCTATGATTATTTAGCATGTAAGAATACATAGATCAGGTCATATTTCATGCCCTATGTCTGAAACAGACTTATAAGGATCACGCCTGCAGTAGAGTCACGCTCACCGGGCTATGGAAAACATGCCCTCTACCTACCAAGATTTCAGTTTAATTAGAAACATGACAAAAAAACCAAAACCAGTTCCAATTTTTTTTAATCCTTTCAGAGGAATTATCAAAATGGAGATTCTTCATATTTCTCCTTCTGCCCTAGATTTGCAGCTTTACAGTGACCTTAAAACTGTTCTCACTTTGGGCTATTTCAGTCTGTTACTGTTTCTGAATCATTATCAGACCTTTTGTGCCAGCAGAACAGTCTGCTGTTCCACAGCCATTTAAAAAATAGGCACCAAATAGAATGATAGGAGGACTCCAAGAATGCTTTTTCCTTGAAGTGTAAATAATTCCAAACATTGAAACATTGTACTCTGGAACATGTATCAGACAGTAAATGAAGAGATATGTAAAATCAGAATGCAAAATACACAATAAAAAGTAAACAGGATCATTAAAGTTTTAAAGGTATGTAAGAATAGCAATATTAGTTTAGAAATAAATACTTCATTTGGAAAAAAACATATGAAGCAGTCTAGAGCTTGGGCTGCTACTTATAGAAAATTATTATTATCATTTTAAAAAAAGTTTCATTATGTATTAGTACTATTCTCCCAATGGCTGTGCTTTCTTAAAGGACAGTTAAAATTATAATCAGCTATTCCTGTTACTATTCCAGCACATAACACAGCTACCCAGCAATGAGGTGACATAAGTGTTTCTTTCTGCAGAAACACTGCAGAAATTTACAGGACAACATAATTACTATTTATGCTATGGTAGTACTCAGACTCTCTCCCTGCCCCCAGACTGTACTGAAAGATTCAGAATGAACCAAAAATGGGCCTTATCCCTAGCAGCCAAGAATCGAGTAAGCTGTAACAAATGTAAACTAACAAACAAAAAAGGGGACAACCTGATATGCTCATGTTGACTTAACTCACTAGAAAGTTCTTTTTAAGAAAAGGATGTGAAAGAGAAGAGTAGCATTGCAGTGGCAACTCCTTTGCAGCAAGGGAGAAGTAAGAAAATGATGATGCTTTCAAATTATAATGTTTGGGAATGGTGAGTTTAGGGAAAGATTCAAGACAAACTTAATCAGCGGAACAGGAAATGACACAAAAGAATAAGACAAAATTCAGGCAACACTTAGAATTGAAATGGAAATAAGTAGTTGATCTTTGATCTAACAGATATGGTGTTATGGTCACATCACACTGATACAGTTTTTAATCATATACTCCACATCACTAAATAACAGTTTTGTATCATGGTAGGCAAAGAAGGAGAGTTCTCAAAATACACCTCTCACCAGTTTTTGCTATTGGTGATTTAGCCTCTCGGATCCATTCAAGCTGCTGGATGTTGTGACTCTCAGTCCAGCACACCCAATTTTAGTCCTATAAAGCACCTTTGTCCTGCACTTCAGATTTGAGATTGCTTTTTGAGTTGATGGTCTGAAAACAAGGAAAAAAAAATACTG